ATGATGCTTAATATGTTGCTTTAAAATGCTTTAATTTTGTAATAATTTCTATTGCCCGTTTTCTTGGTGAAACTTGTTTTTTTAAATAAATATTTTTCTTGTTTTCTTATTATGGCTATTACATTTTTATCTATCCCTGATAAAGCAAATCTTTCTTTTAAAAACCCATAGGTGTGTACCCAGCTATTCACCCGTCTCCTTCCCTGGACAGACTGAATTTTTATTTTTCAAAGTAATTAAAAAAAGTTCATCTTAATTGAGCTGATGCCCATGCTAATACTTCAGCTGCACTGTCTCTTTGACTCATTTGAAAATGGAAATCAGATAGAGCCTCACGGTTTTAATTCACCTATCTAAAGAGTAAAAAAAAAGAAAAGAAAAGAAAAAGAAAAAAACAACGAGCCACCTCGGCTAAAGTCAAGAGGTGGAAATTTGATGTTCTGAGATTGTTACATCTTAAATGCAAATACAACACATAATTTTATGAAGATGGGCACAAATCACCAAAACATAATCATAACCTTGTCCTTCCTCTTTCTCCCAGCTACACCCCAAATCAAGGGGCTTCAGGCATTTCCTACTCAGGTATAGTTGAAATGGGAGGTTGTACATCTGGTGGTGGGTATATTTTAAAATGATACTCTCCGGAGCTAAATCCATAGAAGGTTCCATTGAAATGGAAGGTTGTGCATCTGGTGGTGAGTATATTTTAAAATGATACACTCTCCAGGGCTAAATTTACAGAAGCTTCTATTATTCAATCCCCACCCTTCCTCTGGATGTAGTGTGAAAGTACTGGGGTCTGAAGTCTCTGCAGCTGTGGCTTCTGGGTTGGGAGCCCCCCAGGCTGCCAGTAGAGTAGATTTTCCTCCATGCATCGGGGAAAATCTCAAAGCAGTGTGGCTACCCGGGCACAGATCTGTTCTGACTGGATAACAAGAGTGACTGTGATGTGGACTTGGCTGTTTAGATTAAAATGCATCGCAGGCTCTGGGAACAAGCACACATCAGTAGTAAAGGCTGTTTAAACCTTTGGGGACAGCCCTATGTTTAGATTACATTAATTCATAAATATTATACTAAATACCACTTAAATTGGACTTAAATGACTTCAAAGATAATGCATTATAATATGGCTATCCAGAGAGCACTAGTCTTTATGTCTCCCAGTAACTCAGTCTTTGCTGCGTCCTATCCTGCTAGACAGGACCAAAGTTATGAATGGATTGCCGGCTTCTTCATGTGTGATCTGCTAACTGTGTATGTGTGTGTTAGCAAGCACGGGTATGTGTGTGTGTGTGTATGTATTTTCAGTCACTGCCTCTGTTTGTCCTCCAGGAAACGAAAAGAAGAAACAAGGAATAAATAAAAAATGAGAGAAGGGAAGAATTAGACTAGTGGGTGACTTGTTTCCTTCTCCAAGGGAGAAAAATTCTACGAGAAGGGGCAAAATTGGTCCTCAGCTCACTTTTGCTGCTACCCTGGGAATTTGCCTCTCTTCTTTTTAATCAATAGTACAATGTCTTTCTCTTTGGAGCCTGGAAAAACAATCTTTTCCAAAGTGCTTCTAATGGGGGAGAAAAGAAGACTCTGAGTTGGCCAGGAGAGTTTGCATGAAACTGGGTTTTCTTCCTTGGGTGTTGTTTCTTTGAATTTTAATTCTGTTTTTTTTTTTCTTTCTCTTTCTGCTTAGCACCCAGATCCCCCTCCCTCAATTGCTTTCTGGTCTCCAGGGGGTAAATTTACCTTTGCAGTAATTACCCCAGTCCACAGCCTTTCTCTGATATGGCTGGGTTTGCTCCACAATACCCACCCACTCCCTCCTCCACAGACTCCCAATTTGACTAGAGTAATTGCCTTTTAAGGTGTACTCTACGCATGGCAGGTATTCCATTAACCCTTAGAACACCTCCCTTCTTTAGATACCTGAAATGACAGGTGGCCAACAAATGGATACCCACCTAAAATCTCACATATTTCATTTAGTTGTTACTTCTTTTCTTTTCATTTTTTTTCTTTCCCTCCCTTCCTTCCTTTTTTCATTTTACCAATAACATACATATGCCATCCACACTGGAGGCTAATGTCTTTTTATGTCTCTCAATTTTATCCCAGTACGATTCATTAGAAGTTAGAAATTCAAGAAGGGAAGAGCAATAGCCACAAATATGCCCAGAAACTAGGCTTAACAAAGGCATGATTCTAATCCCTAGCCTCATGTTGTCAATTTAGACATGGGGAAAATCTAGAAACCAAATGCAACACTCATTCCTCAAGCCTCATCAAGCTTTTTGACTTAACAGTAATTAATCACCAATGGCAAGCGAGTAATTTTTTTAAGGTGGCCGGAGGCTTATTTTATCAGGATTAGCTAATAAATCAGGCTGCATCACTGAAGGAGGAGTTCAAACTCTTCTAGGACTGAATAAACTAGACCTTGGAAACTGTCTCATTTATTCTGCTCTCCGGGAGCTTCCAGGCACTATTAGGGACGTTGTGGCCCAACCTCAACTATAAAAATCAGAAGGATGGAGATGCAGGAAGTTTCATAGGAAAAATATATGCTCAAGCTCTGAAGGGTGAGCTGCGACAACGAGGAACCCAGTATGCCAGAGCCAGCGGGCCTGCTTGCCACTGACTGAGACAGTTTGGGGGAAGAATTATTTAGAAAATGAAGTTTTGCTTGTCCTAGGAATTCAGACTTGCTGTATGTATATAATATGTGTATAAGTAACGTAATATATATGACATATATCTCTCTCATAACCTTCTTTACTTCCCTGATGCAAATGATGAAAATTCTACTTCTTTGCTATAATACAAGACAGTCCAAATTACATGAGAAACAAAGTGATGATATCAGCAAGGAATTACTGAAAAGAAACCAAGGAATATTATTAAAGTGTGTGTTCATTTGAAATAAAGAAGCAAATAAAGTGCTTCAATCTAGTTATCATATGAGGCTCAGCTCCTCACAACTGTCTCTTGCCTCTAGTGGGTTCTGAATTTTTTTTTTTAACTTTGAAATCTTAAATCACCACAAGAACTGATCATTAAGATGGGCAAAGACTTCCCTGACTATGCTTTTACAATTTTTATTATTACTATTTTTAAAAATGAGGGCATGTTAGAATGACAAAGGTTTGATAGAAACCTTGATTAGCTTCTAGGGAGCTTGATTGGAAAGGGAATAACTACAAAAGATATGGTCGACTTGAAGGGAGGGGGAAAAAAGAAAGTCTTTGCTTTCTTTTCTTCAAATGTTATTTTGAAGACTACCTTCTCATTCCACCTTTCCAATCTCTCCTCTGAACAGACAGGCATTTTCTCCATAATGAATAAAGGTTGGTTTCTCTTTCCATTATATCCCCCACCCTCACCCCACCCCAACAAACCCGGTATATTTCCATTCTGCTGTGTTTTTGTGCTACTCAACATGCCATTAACTTTAAGATTTACTCCTCAGCAGGCAAGCTGGAAGATGCTAAAGCCAATAAAAACTGCTCTCTGGGACTCCAACTATGAAGAGTTTGGAGCTCTGTTTAGTATTCGAATGAAGGGAGGGCTGGAGAAGGAGGGTGGTTGTGATAGTGAAAACCGCTGCTGCTTAGAGAGCCAGACAGCTTCGCGCTCTGCACCTAATGTGCTGTAGGATCAGCTCTGTTCATAGCCCATTTGTGGCCAAGGATGAGGCTGCTCTCAATGTGGGGGTGGGTGTGCGTGTGCGTGTTTTCATCTTTAAAACCACCAGCTCTAACACAGCATCTTCGGCGGCTCTCCACACTACTGTTTATTAAAAACGGAACGTCCATACACATCCTCTACAACTTCCTTAGCCCCGTGTTCCTTCCCAGCCCGGCGATCAATCTCTCTCAGAAAGCATTTAACTTGCCCACATAGCTCCAGCACCGATTAATCCCCGCTGCACATCCTATACATTACTGTTAGGGAGCGGAGCACTGGGCTAATTTCGTCACCCACCAGCCACCCACACACATTCTACAACTGAACACGTTTGGGGCTCTGCTTTAAAGATAATAAAACAAGGAGAAAACAGGCAGGCTGCAGACAATTCCCATGACCACTTTCCTAAAAAGTTGCTGGGTTTTAATTATTTGATTATTCTGTCTCCCCTTCCCCCAAGCACTCACTAGCAATGATTGCTTCAAGGGAGAAATAATGTACTATAAATCTCTCTGCATGGTGAGTTTGGGATAAATTAGGGTACACCTTTCAAAATGCATATCTTGCACACACATATTTTTTCTCAAAGCCCTGCTTTCCTGGCAAGGGGACTATTAGGCTTCCCAGACCCCCCACTCCACCCAGGGGGTGCTGGTTTCTTGCTAATTCTTGCCTTTGGTTTTATCGCTGGTTCCTTCAAACGTATCTCTCCCCCCCAACCACTCACACCACAATCAGATTATTGAGGCACACAGCTCGACAGGGAGAGTTCACTGTTAAATTGAAATAAAAATATCTCTTTGAATTTGTCACCTCTCTCCCTTTTAGACGGCTTGCGCTCCTGCTACTCCGGCCGGCCGGAGCAGAGGATGAGGAGACCATCTCTTTTAGTATTTTCAGCACCAGGGCGATGGACAGCACCCTCGGTCTCTGGCCGGCCAAGCGCCGGCTAGTCCGCTCAGCGTCCGCGGGGCTCGACGCGAGCAGCCGTCCCCGTCCCAATCTTTCAAGTCACTGTACCCAAAAACCCAAGCCCCATTTCCCCCTCGATCTTCTCTTTCTCTTCATCTTCTGCGCCCGCTGCTTTCCCTATAACAGCGCTCCTATCAGCACCTCGCCCAAAACCCAGCCTTGCCCCAGCGAACAGCTCCCCACGCACCCCAGCTCTGGTCTCTGCTGCCCGAGCGCCTCCCTCCACGGCGCCCGCCCGAGGCTCCCTCTCGCTCCGTCTGCCGCTCGTCCGTCGCCGGCCGGTCGTTCGGCCCGCCCGCTCGCTCCTTCTCCCCGGCAAAGTTGGGAGGGAAAGGTGCACTCACCTTTGTGCATGCCTGTGAACCTGTCCTTCAGAACCGTGAGCTCGTAGATTTTGCCGAACTCCTCAAAGAGGGGCTTGAGGTCCTTCTCATCCAGGTTGCGGGGGATCTGCCCAATGAACAGCTTGATGGCATCGTGGTCCTTCATGGGAATGGTCGACGGGTTCCCCGGGCTGTGGCTTAATCCGTTCATGTGCCCGGCGCTGCCCGGGCTGCTGCCGAGCCCGTTGGTACTGAGGCTCGCGTTGTCAGCCTGTCCGTTTGCTAACGTGGCCATCTTTATATACATAGAGAAAATCTTCTTTCCTTTTATTCTTTCTCGCTCGCACTCTCTCGCTCCTCTCCCTCGCTCGCTCGCTCGCGCTCACACACGCACACGCATACACACACTCGGGTTCTCTCCCCTCGGTTTCTCCACACCTCGCTCTCCTCTCGCTCTGCTCTCTCTCTCTCTTTCTCCTCTTCTCTCGCTCGCTCGCGCTCGCGCTCTCTCTCCTCTCCCCCCTCCCTCTCCTCTCTCTCTCTCTCTGTCTCTCTCGGTCTGATCTGCTTTTTTTTTCTTTTCTTTTTTTTCCTTTTTTTTTTTTTTACATTGAACAGACAGGATCTCTGTCCTTTCCGTTTAAACAGGCTGGACCGGTTCAAGTTCCCAGCCAGACCAGGGGTGGGGGCGGCGAGCGTGTGCGCGCGGAGGAGGGCGCGGGGGGCTGAGAGTAGGCGCGATGGGGGGGCCCGCGCCGCGGCGAGCGGCGGCCGGGGGCAGGGCGGCGTGGGGCGGCGCCGGCCCCACCGCGCCTCCCCCGCCGGCGGCCCCGCGGAGTGGCGGTGGTACGGTCCGAGACGGCCCCCGGCTATAAATAGCGCCAGGCGCATGGCTCTTCGGGAGGCGCTGAGATTCCGGGCCCGGCGGCCGCAGGGAGCGGGTGCCTGTTAGGAGCCCGGCTGCTGGCCTCCTCTCGTAGCCTTTTGGGGGTTCTTTTTTGTACTAGCAGCAGGTGCAACTTTTTGTATTTTAAAAACATTGATTTTTATTTTCGTGTGGGTACGTAGGGGGGGCGTTCTCCACCGAGCTGCGCTCTATTAGGGCTCCAGGCGGGCGAAGCCAAGGCAGGGATGACGGGCGGGGCGGCGGCGGAGGTGGAATGGGCGCTTTTTTCTCCCATCTGGGTTCATTTATTTATTTATTTAGAGTAGAAAAGGGAGCCGGCTTGGAGGGAGTCCGCCCAGAAATCCGAGTGCGCATTGATCAGTGTCGAGAGAAAAAAAAGCTACATAAATATATATTATGTGGATAAATCTATAGACAAGAGCTCTCTCGCGCGCGCTCTCTCCCTGTCTGTGTGTGTCTCTCTCTTTCTTTCTCTCTCTGCTCTTTTCCTCCTCGAATCCCCAACCTGCCGGAGCAGCCCCAAATCTCCCTCCCGCCCGGCATCTACTGCCACCCGAACCACCTGGGAGGATGGGGCTGGGGAGCACTCGGGCCGGGCGGGGGACAGGGGGACCCGGAGTAGAGATTCGGGCTCCGACCCGCTCCAGCCCGCCTCCGCTGGCGGGAGGTGGGTGTTCGCGTCCCGACGGCCTCCCCCGCCCGGGAGAGCGGCGGCTCGGCAGGCCGGCGGCTGGCGGGAGGAAGGTAGGAGCCGGGCGCCCCGGCTCGCTCGCCCGCAGGTGGGGGAGGAAGGCGCTGGGCGCGGTGGCCGGTGAGCCAGCGCGGGGAACTGCCTTGATTTTGCCCTCGCCTGCTTTACTGATTCAAATTGAATTTTTTTTTAAACCCACCATAAAAGAAAATAAAGCCCTCAAATCGCTAGCTGGGCTGCGCTTGGACCTAGACTCGCACGGCGCGCGCTGACCCCGCGGGTTTCGTTTTCGGCACCTCCAGCTCTAGAGGTGCGAGGCGGGGAGTAGCGTCTGCGGGAGAGAGCCGAGCGTCTGGCCGCCCCGCCCGGACCCCGCCGGACTCCCCGCCGGGCCCGCCGGGGCTGGAACCTGGGCTGCGCGGGAGAGGGAGTGGCAGGCGGGAGCGGGTCCGAGCAGCCCGCCTCTGGGGGCGAATACTGGTGGTGAACTTGGCTGGGGCAGCCGATTTTCTTTTTAATGGTATTTACCTGCACCCCCATCCTCTCTCACATTTGCTTTTCCAGGACAGCCTCTTCTCCGCTTCAGAAGCCTGGCAAAGTAAAATAACGCGCCCGCTCCCCGCAGGCTGCGGGGCAGGGAGCTGGGGCGGCGGGGCGGAGCTGCTGGCCTAACCCCCGCCGGCCCTCGCTGGCCACTTTCCTGCGTTCAGGGTTTCTCTTTTCTTACCCTCGGATTACATCACACCACTAGACGATATGTTTAAAATTTTATTTTAAGAGAAAGAGACCCCAGCTGCCTGGAAACCCAGGCCGAGCCCATTTGGTACAACCACAGCGCGGAGCTCTCCAGCGCCGGAGGAGGCCGGAGGCCCCAGGCCGCGAGGTTCGAGGTTCGCAGCCCCAGGCCCGAGCCCGCTCAGGACGCCTCTCCTTGAGGATCCCGGGGGCCCAAGTACAATTCTGAGAACTGTGGAACTTCATCCTTTCATTTTAGATTCTCCTGCCTTTGCTTGATGGAGTCATGTGTAAGTATAGTTGATTCCTAACTTGGTTTCCCGAGCTTGCATCGTTCAGTACTGTATGTTGGTCTGAGGACCGACCAAGTTGATGGAATCGAATAGAAACTCACATGTAGAGTCTCTCTGCCATGTGGTTGTGTGCTTGGCGTGCCTGTGAAGTGCCCTAATAAGGTGGCTCTGTCCCTGGCAAGCACTTTGTGCTTGGGGCTTGGAGGTGTGTGCCTCTGTGTCTTGTCAGAACTGTGGGTGCCCGTGTGTGCTTGCCTGTGTGGACGCAGCATGGATCTGTGCGCAGCCCCTACTCGCAGCCACACTTTGCATGTGTGTGCGTGCCTACCAGGCTGAGACCAGCCTGAGGACACATCAGCAGAGGCTAATAACTGTCCAAAATATCTCCTCCACCATCATCCTGTGGTGCTGGTGCATGGCTCCCAGGATCTCACGGCTGAGTGGAATATATTTTCTGCCACCACGGGGGAGTTTAGGAAGAGTAATTCCTCCTTGAGGTCTCTCTTTTTCTCCCTGCCCCCAACCCCCTGGAAGCAAAGCCTTGACAATGGCAAGGGGAGGGAGGGCAGCTGGAAAAGAAGGGAACTTCTCCGGGGAGGGCCGCTGAGGGCCACCTTCCTCCTCCTCCTACCACCACCCCAGCCACCCCCAGGGCCAAGTAAATTATTCACAGGTATTTAATTATTCATATTATTATTAATAATAATAGCCAATACATAAATAAAAGCAGTCCCTGGGCAGGAGTGAGTGTGGGAGTGGGCTTGTTAATGAAAGGGGACTTTGGCTATTTCAGAAGCCTTTGAAAACTCCTCCATCCTGTGAAGTGCCAACTCCCTCCAGGACTGTTTCTCTGCTCCCTGCACCAATCCCCTCCCTGCGTGGACTCAAAGCTGTGGAGAGCTCCTTCTCCCTTAGGCAGAGGTTCCTCACCCTCCCCTCTCTCCCACCTGATGATGGCTTATTATGGACTTGGGCTGTCTCCCCTTAGCAGGTAGCACATCCCTCACTCCTCAGCTCTCAGGCAGGTGAATAGTGTAAGTCCCCCACCCCCAGCTTGGTGGGGCAGAGGTGACCAGGACACCGGGTCCCATTGTAACCGAGCTACCTGGTGTACAGCAGCAGAAGCAGCTTCTGTCAAGGCATTGATTTCTTAATGGTGAAGAGCTGAATCTCTTAGACTCCCACCTCTCCTCCGTAGCAGAGTTTTGGGGATAAAATAACACAGATGGGTGTCTCCACGTAATGCTATAAAAGAGCAAGACCCCTGAGAAAATAGTACAGAACATGATTAGGTTGGCTTTTTGGTATTCTCACCCTTTATATTCTAGGAAGACTTGAGTTAATTTTTTTTAGCCTTAGATCATCAAAGAGAAATGTAATTAGGGAAAGATGGGGGCAAAGTATTACTCATGGTGACATTTAAGCAGATTTAAAACTTTTTCTCCAAGTGCCACTTCATGGTCACAATTATTCCATCCACTGAGAGAGAGAGGGAGATGGCTGGCAAATGGAAGCAGGGGCTGGGAACAATTGTTCCCCCTTTCTCTCCATGTTTGGGGTTTATATTTTGTTGCTGATTCATCTTTGAAGGTGTCAGGAAGTCCCGTTGGGGGTCTTGAGCCAGGTGGGCTGGTTACTCATACCTTGTCATGCCTTCTGCTTTCTCACTTCCTTTCGCTTCTCCTCTCTTTCCTCAAGGAGGGAGGGAGCCCTCTGTGCCCAGCTTCCCTCTAGCAGAGTCACCCATCACTCATCACTGTCTTCCCTCTGGCACCCACTGAGCCACATTCTGCAGCCCTGGCCGTGGCCACACACCCTCAGGCCTGCTTTGGCTCCCCTGCTTGTGAATCTTCTCTCTCCACCTAGATTGTGAGCTTGTAGGGGGCAGGAACCCAGTAATCTGGTCCCTCGTCCTCCTCTGCAGCTCCTCTGGACCATGATGGGCACACAGTAGGTGCTCACGACTGAGTTTATAAATACCAGTGGCTAAACTGGCTGTATCTTTTTGTATGGGCTCTAAGGCTGGGTAGCCATGGTGCCCCAGGCTGAAACTCTCCCAGAAGGAGTTTGGGGTCAGAGAAGAGGACTGCCACTTTAGAACACCCTGGCAGCTCAGTCTCATGGGTCTGCACTGCGTGGCTCAGAGGCATAACCACTCAGCCATTCTCAGGTTTATCCAGCCTTTCTGAGCTTCAGAGAGAGGACAGCCCTGCAAAGAACTCACTGTCTAGTTAGACCAAAGTCATACCAAGTGAAAAGCCCCAGAACAGCAAACGGCAACAGATGGTTAAATGTCTTCCAGGCCTGAGGAGTTCCACATAGGAGAAAACAGAAAACAATCCAAGTCGCGTGTGATGATCTGCAGTGGGGGGAGTAGCCTAGAGGAAGGAGGGGCGCCTGTGGAGGCAGGAAGCAGAGGGTGCCAGATTGGTGGAGAGCCCACGGATGGATGGCTTGGACTCGGGATTAGGAGGGAAAGAAGCAGCGAGTGCTCCAAAGTTATGTTGAGACCACTCTGAAAACAGCTGTGACCAGAGAGGCCAGACCTCCAATTAACCATTGCTATGGAGTGACTGCTTTGCTCAAACCCCAGAGAGCAGTGAGGGCAGGCTGGAGTAGGGAGTCCCTTGCTCTCTGTATGTTGTTTGGGCAAAGAGACTGACTCACCGAGAGGAATGACCACCAAGGGCATGATCCAATGGAGAAGCAGAATGGAAAGAGCAGGCTCTGTGGGCCTTGGGCTCCTGAGAAGGTGGAGCTCCTGTGGGTGGTGGCACTCAGGGAAGGCCTGCTGGAGGAGAGAGCCCGATGGCCCTGCAGGAGGGGGCGATTCAGAGGCAGCCTTTCAGGTTGAGGCGTTGCCAGGCCTGGCGTGAGCAATGGGCTCTGGGTTCTTGCGCGCCAGTCAGAAGGAGAAGGCACCATGTGGGTATCAGTTGGGTAGTTCAGATGGGGCTTTGCAGGCAGCCTAAGAAGTATGTAGTCTGCTGTCCACGCCCAGGGCTTCTCTGTCCTTGAATACTTTGGGAAGGTTTGATGATGTAAAGAACAGTAATTGGGGTGAGAAAAGAGAAAAACAATCCCTCCCATGTCCCAGTTACTATGAGCAGCCTGCTGCTACCCAGAGTAGACACTTGAAGGGCCTCCTGTCCTTTCCTGAGCCCACGGCGGGTCTGGGCAGGGAAGCAAACCCTCTGGAGGGAGGCAGAGAATAGGAGGGACAGTTCTGCCTGCTTAGGAGACCCAGGGGCTCCCCAGAAGGACTGAGCTGTCTCCCGGGGCTCAGAAAAGTGCCAGGTCTGACAGAAGAGGGGTGACTGAGCTGGTTTCCCTGTTGGCTGAGCCCCAGAGACGCACTGCCTTGATCTTATGGGGGCACCCCTGGCCCTGAGCACTGGCAGGGAATGCTTTTGAGAGTCTTTGTGGCTCTAGTCAGCTCCTGTTTTGGGCTTCTATATCAGCCCGGGCTTCTGGCTCGTGCTGAAGACAGGCAGGAAATGGAGAGGCAGCGGGAGAGGCTGAATCAAGGGACCCCCAAGTCACAGCTAGGGGCATCCTACATGATGTGGCTGAGAGAGCCAGCCCTCGGCCAGCTGAGCCATCACTTCCCAGGGCCTCAGCTTTCTCCTCTGCACAATGGAGGCTGTGGTCCGTTTCTTCCATCCTCCTTTCATTCCTCAAATCGCATCCAGAAGGATAAGATGGCAGCACATTTGTGAGGTTGACTCACGGTTTTCATGTTAAAAAAATCATTATTAGGGTGAAAGAGAGGGGGTCGAGGGTCTAAATGGGCAGAAGGATGTAGATAAATTTGATGAACTAGATTGCACGGAGGGGTCAGGAATTAACTCCTTATATTGCCCAAAGAATTTACATTTTCTGAAAAATGACAGTGCTCCGTCCAATAGAAGCAAGTGTTTTCAGCTGCGTTTAGGCAAAGCTAGCAGAGCCCGTGCCTGGAGCCACTCTCTTTGCCTTTGAGTCCTGCCTCCCCTACTTATGAGCCGTGTGACCTTGGGCAGATTATTTAATCACTTTGTGGCTCAGTTTCCTCATTTGTAAAATAAGAAAAGAAAGGAAACATACCTCATAGACTTGTTGTGAAGATGAAGTGAGTAAATTTAGGTAAAGTGCTTAGATCAATGTCTGGCCAGCCAATATCACAGGAACATCACTAACAGGCCACCAGGGGCTGAGGGTCTTTCTGAAGCTCCTTTGTAGCTCCTAAAGAGGGGGAGGGACGTCAGCCTCAGCCAGGGTAGGGCCTGGTGGTCAGACCTGGGACCGATGGTGTGCAGTGGGTGTCCTTACATGTTGCAGACTGCTGTCACCATGTTCTCTGGGGAAGGAGCCCTGCGGGGAGGGTAAAGCCTGCATAGCCACCTCTTCTAGGGGCCCGTCCTCTGCACTGGCTGCCGGCACTCCCGAGGTCCCTTCTTCTTACCTGAGAGGTGTTGCCTCAGCAAGTCCTTTTAATTGTGATGTTTTACTAATTAGTTTTTAATTATGTTAATTTATTGTACATGAGCCCTGAGGTTTTCAGACACTGGGCTCACTTTAGAAACTGGAATAGTAAGTTGTATTTATTACACACACAACGCTGCGGGTAAATGTCACTTCAGCATGGCCACGATTTCTCTGATAATGCCACTGGATCGACAGCTTCTAATCCTAACTTTCCCTGCTGCCTCCAGGCTCTTACAGTTCAGCACACAGTCCTTCAAAAGTGCCAGGGTTAAGAAACTCGATGCCCGCAGGCTGTGCGGGTGACATGAAGGAGTGAGGTGGCTGGGTGAGGCCGGAAGACCCCAATTGGATGGGGTCTCATGAAGATTGAGACTCCAGGAACTTTTCCCAGGCTAGACCTTCAAAGGGCTGTTGTCTGGGGACCTCAGACCCACCCACCTGGGTCCAGCCCCTGCTCATTCACCCAGGGTGAGCTGGGTGCTGCTCAGGGCTTGACTTGAGAGCCTGGGGAGAGGGAGGGAGAGGCTGAGGATGCAGAGGGTGCATGTGTAGTCAGGTTGGGGGCTGAGGCCATGACAGGATGTAAGCCTGTGCTCCAAGGGTGGCAGGTGGCCCTGGAGAGTGGGGGGTGGTGGTGGTTTGTGGCAGGGCTGGCTCTTCGGAAAGACTCAGGGTGGGGATTCAATGACTGTATGCTGACTGGCTGCTGATGGAACAGAAGAGTGTAATCAGTGACATAAAACTGTGACAAAGAAGGTACCTGGGTATTAGGAAAAATGGGTGGCAAGAAAGAAATGACTTCCCCGTCTCTTCCCCCACCACACACGTGCTGAGGAGGAGAGTGCCCTGCAGGGCCCGTTTTCCATAGATCATATCTACTCCGAAAGGAGGAGAGCTGGCTGCCCTTAGGAATATTTACAAGAAGTTGCTGCAGGTTTTCAAGAAAAGGACCCCCTTCCCCAATGATTTCAAGATGGCAGTCTTCTTTTAGCAAGTTTAAAGTCTTCCAAAATGTATCTGTAAAGTTGTAAATATAAATTCTAGTCTCTTATTAAACAGACACGTTAATATAAATTTTGTTCAAAAAGTGCAATTTAAAGAAATCCAGTCTATAAATTCAACTGGACATTTATTGCTTAAAAATCTGTATGGAAGACTTCAGTTACTGCACTCCATAGACACACATGCATAGGTGCACGCATTGTATTTAGGAAGAGTTTGGACTTTGACACCAGACAGATCTTTAACTTGCCAGCCATGGAAGCCAGTCATGCTCTTAGACTGCTGATGTCCTCATCTGAAACACGGGGTCACCACAATGCATATGATTTTCATGAAGCCTGAAAGAGGTAATAAACATTTAGTGCCTGCCACACAGTAGGTGCCTAATAAATGCTAGCTATGATTGTTGTGGGTGTATTCATCAAAAAGTAAGCCAACTCTCTTCTTTCCAGGTATAAGCTGTTGCTGAAGATAACATTTAGAATAGGTGTAATAGCACATGGAGATTTTCTAAGGAAGAGGACAGTGGGGGCTTCTCAGTGGTCCTCCCAGTGTTGGGGAGGTTCCCATGGTGGGAGCTCAGCTTGGCCCCTTCCTCATTAGAGCAAGTGGATAAAGTCTCCAGTGGGTGCAAAGCTGTGTGAGGGTGTCGGGACACGAGCCTGTGCCCGGGAGGGCTGCGGGAGTGTCTCCCAGCACAGCGGCTTGGTGTTGTACACCTGCATTCAGGCTCAGAGTGGGGTTCATGCTGTAGCACACACCTACGCCGGGCAGCCTGCACCCACACACCTGCACACCCAGACACGGGGAGGCTCACACACAGACCTGCATCCCCACGTCCCCGCCGGGCGGGTGGGCGAGCTGCTCTGACTCACTCCTTGGCCCTGTGCCCTCTCGCTGAGTCACGGAGTAATCGATCCCTCCCCGAGCTAGGTTTCTGCTCTCATGTGACCTAGAGCAGGGTCTCTGGGCCAGGCCACATCCAGACTGGGGCTGGGGAGGCTGGGCTGGGGAGTCGATGCCGGGAGGGAGGGCTGGGCTGCCAGACCTGCGGATGGCACTGAGCCTTTCCATGACGCTCTGGGTGTCTGCTGAGGTGCTATGTTTGGGGGTGTCTACCACCCAACAGCATATGTATCCCCTCACTGGCCTCCATCCACGTCCTCATCAGGGGGGGGCTGTCTCCATAGAAGTTGCCTCTGTTAACTAGTGAAGGGCATGGGTTGGCCTTGGCAATCACCTTGGAGACGCCCATGATCTTTGTGCTTTGGAGTCGAGGGTGCCTCATTGTTGTTTCCAGATTGAGTTGTGGGTTTAGAAGAGCTGAGGGTGTGGGGGCGGGGGGTTAGAGATGTGGGATCCACACGTCGTACAAGGGCAGTGTCACCCCTTTGGGCTCAATCCCATGCCACCCGTGGCCCAGAAAGAGAACCACCTCTCCTACTGATGAAATGGGAGACTCCAGCTAACAGGGATAGAGCCACCAGTCCTCCCAGCCTGGTGGCAGAAGGCAGGGTAAGGCTGCTCAGGTCGTGTGTGAAGGCCCCCAACCAGCAATGGTCACAGCATCACCACCCTGCCATGGAAAAGTCATGTAATTGCTCTTGGTCTCTCTATCCTCATCCATAAAATGGGCATAAAATTCCCCTTCTATCCTAGCGAGGTATCTGGCCAATAGATAAAGCTCTGAGAAATAACTAAGCGAATTGCTATCATTCTGTTCCTCCTGCTTTTTTAAGTCCCTTGCCCTCAGCTGTCTGCTGAGCTGGCAGCTGGCCACAAGGTGGGATCTGTGGCCCCTCTGGGTCTTGGTCCCCTGCTGCCAGTCCCAGCTCTGGGATGCTCCCTGCTCAGCCTCTGACTGCCCCACTGAGGTCATGGCCAGGTCCTCAGGGGTTTCCTGTAACAGTTGCTTTCGTATCTGGCCATCTGGGTGTGTCTTTGGGCCATGGCATCCTCTCTCTGGCCCTCATTCCCTGTCTTGTGAGATGGGGACCTTAATCCTTGCCCTGCACACCTCGTGGGGAAGGGCGAGGGTGGAATTTCTTCCCAGAGTGCAGGGTGCTTCTGCTGTACATAAGCTCCTGTCCTCACCTGCCTGTCCCTGTCTCTGCTCACCCCCCAGCCCCAGAGCAGCTCTGGGACAGAGAGGGTGGCCTGGCCCTCACATCCATCCTCTTCCTCTGGATTATTTCTCCCAATCACACTTAATAGCTGCCTGGCTTTTGGCTGCAGCCCGGTATATAATAACCTGCAATTATTGTCCACTTAAGCTGTCCCCAGGGCCTTGTCTGTTGCGCTGCCCGGGCCGCACTGCCGGCCTGCTGATTTTCCTGTCAGAGTCGTGGCCAATGGGGAGAAAGTCCCTGACGGGGCTGGACTGACAGCCTGTTTGGCAGGGCCACCACCTCCCAGCTGCAGCTTCCTGGGAGATGGGGCCTCAGAGGCAGCCACTGCAGCCACAGCCTCGTCCAGCCTGGGAGCTCGCTCGCCCTCTGGGGCCTGGACCTGTAGGCTGCTCACACCCGCCCTCGTCCCCTGCCTGTTGCCCTATACACACACTGCCCTCCTTTCAGCCACTGTGTCTTTGTTTACCCTTTGCTCAGCACGTCCCTTTACCAGCTGCTCACCACGGGCCAGCCCCTCTGCAGGTAGGCTCTTCCTCTCTGCATCCTCATGAGGGAGGCGCTGGCATTTTACATCCCAGGCTAACAAAGATCAGAGAGGTTAAGTATCTTTCTTAGGGTCACACAGCCAGAAAGTGACAATGAAAACTCGAAATCCACTTGGCTGGTTTCACGGCTCACTTATTCAGTCCTCATGCTGTAGTCCCCTCTCTTCATAACCAGTCCTGCCTGTGCTGGTGGCTCTGCCCGCCACCCCCTTGGAAAGCCCCCTTGGAAAGCTCCCTGCTGTGGCACACTGTCCCATCTGACTCTGGACCTGTATGAATAGCCCTTGAGGTGGGTCCTATGTGGGCAGGGCAGGAGTTCCCTGGCTTAGCCTTTCCCTGCCGTTTGATCCGAGAAGCATCTCCACGTGCGGGGTGGACAGAGCTGAGCCGCTGCCACTGTTCCCGTTCTTCCCGTCCTAACTCCGACTCGCGTTCTCACGGGCATCTCTGCTACAGCCCAGTCCCCGCTGCTCCTGACAAGGGACCTCACCCATCTGTAGGGCAAGCACTTGGGTTATCTCTGTGGCACCACCTGGCCCTGGTGGTGGTGAGGACAAAAGTAGACTGTGAAGGTCTCGTGCCACCACTGGGAGATGGCAGAATCTGAGAGTATCAGTATTTTATGCCATTCTGAATCTAATAATTAAATGATCCAGGACAAAAAGAGAGTGTTCGGACCCTTAGTCAGGCCCTTTGTCCGGAGTGCTGGTTATCTGGGTGTGTGCGTGTTTCGTCAGGAGGGTGCGTGCACATGGTCCGGTGTCACAGTGGGCCCTGGGCCTGTGGTTGGTAGAGCCAGGCATCTGCTGGGCTGTTGGCTGGAGAGACAGAGGGGCTGAGAGTTGAGGGAGGGTCCCCCTGGATGCTGTCTCATTGGGAGTCACGTTGGGCTCTGGGCTGTCAGCAGAGGAGGGGAGGATAGAAGGCCCAGTTTGTGGTGGGTCCACGCCTGTCCAGGCCCCAGGCCAATCCCTTGCCCAGCCCCTTCCCCCCCTGGGCTCCCTCACCCTTCCCCTGGAAGTTCCTCACCTGCACTTGCAGATTTCAGTCCTTTGTCTTGCAAAGGAATTCTTAATGCTGAGGCTTTGTTAGTAAACAGTATTGAGGTAGCCTGGGGCTTTCTCTGGCCACTCAAACCTTCTCAGTGAAGGCTGAGGCTGGCCTGGAGGTAAACTGCCCTGGGCTTTCTGGCACCTTCCCTCTTCTGTGCCCCCAGGGCAGGCTGCAGAGCCCTGCCATGACAGTGGTGCCAAGGCAGTGGCCTTCTGTGTCATGCCAACACCCTCCACACCCTCTCTACCCCCATCAGGTGGTACTGTGCTCCCAGCTGCCTCTCAGGCTGGCCTTAGCCATGGGGTGTGACCTCTCAGGAAGGGGTTTTCCAGGTAGGAGCGAGGCATGCCAAGACAAACGCCTAAACTGGGCACGCTGGCTGCCACTTGCAGCTGCATCCAGTGGGAGCGCTTTACGCTGAGAAGGGCAAACAGCTGCAGTGGTCTTTATTTTCTCCAACAGCCATTTTACTGTCCTACTGCCGGTGCCCTGTCTTGTCTATACCAAGGGGAGAGGAAGACTCCAAACCTGCTGGTTTAAGGTAACTCACCCTCTTTTCAAGTCAACACAGTCCTGTATGGGCACATCCTACGTCTTCGGAGGTTCCCTTCTCCTCTCCCCTCTGGCCGAGCTCGAGCTCGTATCTGAGGCAGGGGAAGCCTACATGTCCTATGTGGAAGAGGGGGCCTTGGGTTGTCCTTGGGTTGTGTCCTCTGGGGCCCTGGTGGGCTCCCTGGGGTGTGGCAGCCATCATCTCCGTCCTGGGAGCCTCAGAACCCACCAGGCCCCAGGTGGCCACCGTGTTGCAGGTAGCCTCTGGGTCCCACACCTCCTACACACCCCCACAGCCACTGTGGACCGGGAGAGGGGCTGGGCACACCCTGGCTTCCAGCTTTCTTCCTCTGTTTCCCACCCCCAAGGGTGACCAGCTAGCTTCCAGAATTCTCCTGTACCCCAGGCAGGTAGGATGGTCTGGGAAAGGAGCAGGGATGAATTGGTTAAAATCCATCTTTCTGCTTAAAACCACCCTCCTTTTGCCCCTCTGGGTGGTGGCCCCAGAGCCACTCAAACAGGAGGTGGAGCCCAGTCTTCACAGCTTGCAGCTTTGTTTGAAAATTACCTCTTTGTTCCCCTCCCTCTTCCCCGCTGAAAGTTCCGCTCTGGAACAGCAGCACAGGCCAGCGGTGTGCACAAAGGCACCCTGGTCTGCTACCCCCACATCAGGGCGTCTTCTGTGCTCTGTCCCCAGTACACCCCCTCCCCTGGGCACGTGGACCCTGGAGGACGGTCCTACGGCTCATTCCCCCTGGGAGCAGCCCCCACACCACACATGGCCGTGCACTGAACCAACAGTGAACTAACCACCAGTGCCATCCGTAAGTCGGGTCCGGCCGAGTTTGCTTAAACATTTATAATACAAAAAACAAAAACAAAAACAAGTCCCCAAATATTTCCCTTTGGTGTGACTTTTAAAACCAGCTTTGATCATTCGAGGAGTAAATCCTTAGCTATCTAGAAAGCTTGACAATCTAAAATGATACATTTGTCAAAAATTTAGGTTTAAGCATTTGCTAGTGTGTGCGAGAGATGTAACTATAAATTGATCAGACAAGTTTTATGTGTGGATGCTCTAACCACTTCCATCACATATAGGCACGCCCCTCAATACGGCACCCACCCTCCTGTGTGTGCATGCGTGTGGGGGGTATGTGCGCGTGCGTGTGTGCATGCACGTGTTGTCAGGGACACACGTGTGTGACCATATCGTCTTCCTTGGGGTTAACTATATTTTCTTTGTGCTGCTAATGCTTTTGGCCTCTGGGGGTGCTATATATATACAGATACAGAATTTGAGACACAGGATTTTCAACCTGAAAGGAACCTTAGGCATCTTCTAACCACTTTTTTAATTTTATACTTTTGGTAATTAACTTCCAGAGAGGTGAAGTGACTTGCTCAGGGTCAGCTATAGAACCCAGCTCCCTCTCTCTCTCTCTCTGTCTCTCTCTCTCTCTGTCTGTCTTTCTCTCTCTCTCACACTCATGCACACACATGCACATACACTATGGCAGCGACAGCTATTTCCTCTCTGTTCAGCATTTCTCTCTCCCCCCAGCCCCTTGTGCTTCTTTTGCCCATCTGTCTGTCTGTCTGTCTGTCTGTCTGTCTGTCTGTCTGTCTTTCCCCCTCTCCTTCCTGCTCTGTGGTCCCGGGTGGCAGCTGAGGAGGCCCAGGCAGGGCAGCTGGGGAAGGGACTTCCCTATCAGTCAGGAGCTAAGGGAGCATTACCTCTGGCCTCGGGGAAGAGCAAGGAGGAAGGAGGATGAATTGGCTCTGCTGTTAAGCAATCTGTTTCCAGCCCGATCCCCCTGCCCTGCCTGGGTCCCTCTGGGAGCTGGCTTTGTCAGAGGGGGAGGGAAGGGATTACCGCATTGGCGTTCCTCTTTCCTGAATCCTTTTCTCTGGCCTGGCCCATGTAGTGTCCAGTTCGAACACTCCTTTAGGGAAGACGTACATGCTACTTGCTTCATATCCAGAAAGCACAGGAAACTGCTCTTTCCCTTCTAATGCTGGGATCCTGGTGCTGAAGTTTGTCTCTCAGTCCTAAACAAAAGAAACAAGTGTTTCCACAGAAACAAGTGTTTTGACTGATCTCCTGTTCCACAAAGGTATGGAATCTGGGCTTTGGATGGTCCTTCAAGATGTTCTCTGTGACTCCCATGTTCATTTGAGGAATCCGTTCTCTTGCCTATTTGAAGTTTCCCAGTCTGCCTCATAACCACCTTCAGCAACGGGGAGCTCACCCCTTCACATGCCAGCCAATACCTCTAAAATGTCCCATCATCATGCGTCTCTCACAAGAAACCCCCTTGTCACTTTCCTTTTCTTGACACAGGTCTTGCTTGGTCTACCTCTTAGTTTCTGATTTGTTCTGTAAATAGTCTCAGATCCGGTTTCTGCATCTCCCACTTTCCAAAATTATTCTTACTAAAGTCACCGGTGGCTTCCTAATGGCCAAACTTGGTAGACGCTTCTTTAGTCTTCATGGTAATGCTATTAACCAGGTCCTCCCTGGAGCCTCCTCCTTGTCTCTCAAGACATACGGTTTCTTTCTATGCTCACTTCCCACTTCCTGCTAGTTCTCGGGACAAGGTCCCCTTACTCTCTGCAGTGCTTAAATGGCAGGGTGACCTTTGTCCCAGACTTGGACTTTTCTTCTTTTCAACTTTCACAGACTCCTGGGGCCACCACACGCTCACCCAGGGTGGCAGCTCTCCAGACATGGCCACAAGACTGTCACATCTTCCTTACCAAGCTTCAGCCTCTATTTATAACTTCTAGAGGTCTCCACGAGAGGAACATCAGACTCAGGGTTTCTGTTTCCACAAGAAGGAAGAATCTCCCCCACTTGAAGTCCCTATTGTGGCTAGTGGCCCCGTCACTGACCTGGTCATTTCAGCCAGGACATGAATCACTCCTGACCATATTCTCTCCCTCATCCTGGAGATGCCCTGGGTCAGCCAGTCCTACTAGTCCTCCTCTATCTTCACCTCCCTCCTCCCAGGCCCTCATTCTCTCTCACCACACCACTGCAGAGTCTGCCCACTGGGGCCTTTGACATCGGCCCTGCCTTCTTCAGCCCACATATGCTTCACTCTGTGCACAGAACAAACTTTCTAAAACAGATCTATAACAGTTTTGCCAGTTTCCTCCTTAAAAGCCTCCAGTGGCTCCCCACTACCTCCAGAATAGAGCTCAGTGTCATTGGCTTGTCCTTCCAGGATCCTGTGACTCACCCATCCCATCTGCCTCCCCTTCTAGGCCCTTCTCCTGTGACCTCCTCCTTCCCCTTGTCCTGGATACCCCATTCCCAGCTTGTACCCCTGCCCCCATCCATCCTCCTCCTCCGTTCCCGCCCAGTTTCATGGATACACACAATATCTCTCACCCACTCCCCTTCTTGGAGTCCTCCACTCCTTTCTTTTACCAGCTACCCCCTGCTCAGTTTTCACCCACCTGCTCAGACATCACTGCTTCGGGGAGGCCTTACTCACCTGACCACACAGATTAGGACAGGTGCCCAAGTGCACTTTTGAGGTGCTCCATACTTTTTATAGCCGCCGGCACAATTGCAGTTGTTTCATTACTTACTTGCCAATCCTTCCCACCCTCCAGTAGATGGTAAGCTCCCTGCAGGCACCACTGTGGCTTTCTTGTTCAATTCCACACCCCAGGGCCTGGCACTCTGCATGCACAATAAATACTCATTGTCTCAGTGGCTGACTGGGGAGCCCTGAATGGCAGCTGGAGTCAGATTTTGATCCCATAAGTGGGCAATTGGGTGCTGGAGATTGTTCCCACTGTGATGGTGACTTGGTCAAATTTTAGGTTTAGGCAGATTGGCTGGGGAGTGTCACACAGAATGGGATGGAGGCAGGCAGCATTAAAGATGGGGACTGGAAGTGGTACAGGCATGAGGTGCCTTTTCCACTCCCATCCCATATGCTTCTAGTGGAGAGTCCAGGAGATGGAGTCAATTTGTGCATAATTGAAATGAACAGAATCCAGGAATGGGCTTATAATAAATGCAGCCCATAACTGTGCAATGACCTTACCTTATTGTGGGAAGCTTTCCTTTCACTTTTGCTCTTTTTAAATCTGTTCTTATTTCATTCTTTGGTCCCCATAGCTTCCCCCCCACTCCCCCAGGGTTGAATGCTCTCTAATGTTCCTATCTAATTGGCTGCTGATTTGTTAATATTTTTGTTAGTTTCTACAATACATATGCAACTTTTGGATATCTTGTCTGGAGGTTTTACCCCCAGGGAAGAATAAAATTGCAGTTAGGAGAGTCCAAAAATGGCTGGGGTCCCGGGGTTCAGATTGACTAAATTGGTAGTTTTCCCCGGCTCTCATTTCTGTTATCGGAGCAAAGAGCACCCTCTCGGGCTCTGTGTCCCCTGACCCATGCTCTCCAGCATGGTGACAAGTGGGAGTGTGTATTTTTGCTCTTTGTTATCATGGGTTCTGCCCCATCTTTCTAAAGCAATCTTATAAATCATTGATGAGAATATTTCTATTTTTGTCTGAAATATCCTAGCCAAGAAAGCCTTATGAATACTTTCCAAATCAAGTGCTGGCATTGCACGACGCTTCCTCATTGATGGCAGGCCCATTTCATTGTTTTTTTCACTTCTTGGCTCTGTTTTCCACGGCAGCAATGCCAAGTCTCAGCCTGGGGGTGGGGGAAGAGGGCTGACCCTGATGCAGAACCCTGTGTGCCACTCCTTTTTTCTGGGACAGGAGCTCCCTTTCTTTCTTCTTCCCCATGACTGTCACCAAACCCCCATCTGAGACTTTTACACCTTGAAACGCTGTAAATGATGGCCGGTATTTTTTCTCAGTAAGGTTTCCTCCTGCCATCCAGCCTGCCTGTGGACCATCTACCTTCCATCCCAATCATCTAGTCATTCAACTCGCTTGAATATCAACCTTCCTTGCAAGGTGTGAAGTTTGAATGTAAATGAGACCCCCTCATCT